GAGCACTGGGTGTTGTATGGAAACCAATTTGACAATAAATTTCATATATTGAAAAAAAATTAACCCTTTGATCCCTGAAATATAAATAAGCTTTGATCCCTAAAATATAAATAAGCTTCTTTCTTCACAAGTATTTCCACTTATGTGTTCAAATGTATTCTTTTGTACACAAATCAGTTAAAGTTTTTAATCTTACTATTGGTACTACATTTGCTTATTTAATATTCACATAGTCTTCGGACTATGTAAATTTTTATTGTAGCATGGCATTATTTACAAACATAATTTTGCTCAGTTTTCTGAGAATAACACACCACCTTATAGAGGGCAGGAGCAGAGGCAAGGCTTATCTCCAGTAAAGTTAGTATGTGGTGAGGGTGGTAACTGCCTTGAGTGACACCATGATGAGGCAGAAAGTGGTCCCTCAGCTTTGACCAACCCCCACCTCACTGGGATCAACTTTTCACTGGGAAGTCCCATCTTTTCTGTCTCAAGAAAGCAAGTGCTTAAAGTGCTTAGCTTCAGCCCCACCCTTCTTTCTAGAAACTGACAAGTTATTTGGGGAACTGGGATACTGGCTAAGAAGGTGAAAAGCAGCATCCAACTGTTTTCGAGGGACAAAGAGGATGTTAGTCCCTAGTGCTCATGATGAGGACCGCTGGGAATGAACTTAGAAACCAGGGGTTATTTAAGCATCCTGATACCTGAGTGAGAAATGATCTACAGACCAGGGTTTCAAGTTGACAGGTAAGGAATTCCTTGGAAGCTAGTAGAGAAATTGAAATTAACTATTGAAACATGCTCATTTCTTTTTTTTTTTTTTTTTCTTTGTTGCCCTCTCCATTCCCCTCTCTTTCACCAGGTAGATTTACTTACACAGCAAACATCTTCATGATATGCTTACATGTAAGCAATTCTTTCCACAAAGGGACCCAACAATACTCTACTCCAAAGAACCATGTTCCCTGGAGTCCCACTGATTTCCACAGGTTTCTCCACAGACTGCCACATGAGGCATCCAAGTCTAAAGTTATAATATCACACCTTACAAGATTAAAAAAAAATGATGTGATAATCTCAAGAAATACGATGGGAGAGGAGAATGGTAGAAAGTGGACATACTTCAGGGGACTTGCTTGGAATCAGCATCTGAGAATTATCTTCAATATTTTGCCTATTCTTAACAGGAATAGTAGGTCATCAGAATAAATCCTGGAAGTGACTGTGCAATTCTACTTATCTGTCAATAGATCTTTTTATCAATGCATTATTTTTATTTCCAGTTTCTACACAAACTCACTGCTAAGTCAGCTGGACATTAGTTAATCACATTCCTCTGTCTTTGTACCTCAAGAATACGAACTGACTTAACATACTGTTAAAGATATTTTCCTTGGGGCGCCTAGGTGGCTCAGTCAGTTGAGCATCTGACTTCAGCTCGGGTCATGATCTCACTGCTCGTGATTTCGAATCCCACGTTGGGTTCTGTGCTGACAGCTCAGAACCTGGAGTCTGCTTCACATTCTGGGTCTCCCTCTCTCTCTGCCCACCTCCTCCCCCAGCTCACACTCTGTGTGTGTGTCTCTCTCTCTCAAAAATAAATAAATGTTAAAAAAATTAAAACAAAAGATATTTTCCTTAAATGTTAATAAGAAATGAACTTTGGTTGAAAAAAAATGCAGAAATCATTATGCCCTGATTTAATAATGGATGCTGCCGTTAGTCAGCCAGTAGGAACTCAGCAAATGACTTTAGAGGTTCAGAAATAGAGGAGGATTTACTCTTAGATTTTACTATATAAGCATTGAAAAGTCACATTAAGGATTATTTATAAACTGAATCCTATGAAACTGTTTCTTCCTTAACTTTCAAAAAAATTGCAACTATAACGGAACACAGAATTTTAGAATGGAAAGGAAGCTTTGTCAACTTCTAGTATAGTCCTTGCCATTCATCTAGATACTGCCCCCTCAGTGCTAGGAACAAATTGTCCTAGACAAGTGCCTGATGACTGCTGAAATTATATGAAGCTAATCAAAAACATAAAGCTTATAATTAAACTGCATGTGAGAGACACATTCTCATATTTTCTTCCTTGATATTGAGTTTTAGATAAAAAATAATCTTCAGTATTTTGAGGTTTATTTTGCCAACTTCTGACTACATACTATCATGGAGATGGTAAATAATTAATTGGAAAGTGTTTAATCAATGTTAGTAAACATTTGTCCCTCCTATAAATCAGTCAATTATGTTTGATTATGCAGATTTCCGACTGCTTCCTGCAAATGCCATGAGATTCCCAGCAAATGGCGATAGGGAACCAACATATCAGAAAATCAATAAAGAAGTATCTTTAATTGATACCTTGTCTTTAGAAATGCATCCCTGGTACACAAGGTGTTGAGCACTGGGGAATTCTGGAAGAAGTGTTCCAGTTTTTGAACTTAGTGAGTATTTACGAGTGAAGCCACCCTATAATTTAGAAAAATGAAAAGAAATAAATCATTATCAACTATTTGGCTCTGAAATACCATTCTAATAAAATAGAAACCCATAAAATATCATTTTTCTTCATCCTGCAAACGATGACAAATTAAGAGATTTTGGTAAACTGTTCAGATCATTCAATTGAACAAAGAAGAGCTGTCAGCAGAATCGTTTCCAATCATAAATAATTTCATAGTCAGGATATTTTCCCTATTATTTTGGATTTTAGTTTTGAACATTTGTCAGCTTATACAACTTTTAGAAATTTAATTTTAGTTCACATTTGTTAATGGCATAAGTTTTGAAAGACCTACTTTTAGAACTGTTGAATTGGAACTATACGAGGATCAAGAATTGCCAAATCCATTTATGGATTGTGTAAACAAGATGATAAGAAGTTAACTAATTTGTTTAGTCTCAGAAATAATTAGTGATAGCTTGGGAGTGGAGCTTAAGTCTTCTCATTCCCAAATTGGTACTCTGGACTTTCTCATCTCAACCTTACCCCACCCTGAATTTACATATGTGTTCTTCTTTTGATCCCTTGGAGAATAGCACACTTCTAGTAGTCTTCAAAAATTGGAAAAAGTGACAAAAAACAAATAATATATAATGCCACAGCGTTGATGTACCTACAAAAAAATCCACACAGAAAGAGAGAATGCATATTTGTGATGGAACCAGAGCCTCAGCAAATCTGTCTCCCAGGTCATAACTAATTGTTCCTGCCCCTCAAACAAAGTTTTAGCAAACTGGATCGCAATAAAGAGTTTAGGCAAAGAATGAAATAGTGACTATAGAATAGGAAGGAAAGTATTCCTGGCAAGGACAAAATTTCATTCTTTCCCATAGTTTTCCTATATTTTCTTCTACAGCTTTTGTATTTCTTTGTCTCTGTCATATTGAAGATTTATTGCTTATACAAGTTAGGTTCCTACCCTGTATTATCATTCCCAACATTTGTAGACTATTACAGACTTACATGTTAAATCACTAAGAAGTTGGGAGGACTTTCAGTCCTCAAAGCAGGTATTTTAAGAACATTGATTTCTCATTGACGGATTTGGTATAAGCTTTCAAAAATTTTTTATTAAAAGTGCAGTAGAAATCTATTTCTTTCAGATTAGGTTTTAGTTTTCACCCTTGTTATGCTTTATTTTCAAGCATGGATAGAAAAGAATTATTCTGATTAAATAATTCTTAAGGATTTTAAAAAAAATTTTTTAAGTTTATTTATTTATTTTGAGAGAGAGCGCAAGGGAACAGGGGAAGGGGAAAGAGAGAGGGGGAGAGAGAGGATGCCGAGCAGGCTCCGTGCTGTCAGTACAGAGCCCTATGCAGGGCTTGAACTCATGAACCATGAGATCATGACCTGAGCCAAAAACAAGAGTTGGACACTTAACTGACTGAGCCACCCAGGCGCCCCTAATTCTTAAGAAATTAATAAAGACCTACTATATAAATGATTAACTATCATGAACTGATATATTAGCACAGTTAATCCCAATCCACTCTACTTAATCAGCCTTAAGAATTCAAGATATATTTCAAATATTTTTGATGCTTGGATTTGTCATTTATGAGCATGAATCATCGTTGTACAGTCAAAGAGTGGTATTGTCAATAAGTTGGGAAAATAATAGGATGTGAGAAGTAAAGAATTTAATCTTAAAAGGAGGAAAAAGTAATTGGCAAAGAATATGAAACTAACATTTGATAGATAAACATAACAAAAATGCACTTAAATTCTAATTTTAGGAAAGTTTACATTGTTTTCTTATGCCTTTTCTCATGGGTGGAAAATCATGTTTATTCATCCCAAAATGTAATTCGGTGAGATTGGAAAAGAGAGATAGAGAAACAGAAACCAAACAATGGCAATACATAGTGTTGTATTAAATCTAAGTTAGGAATATGAGAATAGTCTCGTTTCCATTGACAAATATGATTAATAATCAAAAATCTTTCCACAAAGGGAAAAAAACAGGCTCAGAAGATTTAATAGGTGAATTTTGTCAAGCATTCAGAAAGCAGATATTTCAAACTTAAAAGATTTTTTTTTTTCAGACAGTGGAAAAGAAGAACCTCTTTCCAATTCATTTGAAAACTTTTATGCCAAAACTGGACAAGGACAGAAAAAGAAAGAAAAATCATAGGCCAATACTGGTTATTATCATACTTGAAAAATCATAGGCCAATACTGGTTATTATCATACTTGAAACAGTACCAAATAAAATACTTGCAAACCAAATCCAACAGTCAATAAGAATGATAATAACCAAGTCAGACTTAAACACACTACATTGACAGAAGAAAAGGTGGGGTGGGGGGTAGAATACCATATGTAATCAACTCAATTGATCCAAAAAAGTATTTGTTAAAAATGCAGCCACCATTGGGGCACCTGGGTGGCTCAGTCGGTTAAGCGTCCGACTTCAGCTCAGGTCATCATCTCACAGTCCATGAGTTTGAGCCCACGTCCGGCTCTGTGCTGACAGCTCAGAGCCTGGAGCCTGCTTCGGATTCTCTGTCTCCTCTCTGCCCCTCCCCTGCTCATGCTCTGTCTCTCTCTGTCTCAAAAATAAATAAAAACATTAAAAAAAAATCCAGCCACCATTCACTTCTCTTTCTCCCTCTCTGTCTATGCTAGAAACAGAAAAAAAAATTCCCTAATCATTCAATAATCTATCAAAATATCAAAAAATAAAAAATATGAAAATAATCTATCAAAAACCCGCAGCAAATATCATACTTAATAGTAAATAGCAAGTTCATTACTATTTGACCTGTTTTGCAAGAAATATTAAAGACGGTCTTGTGGGTTAAAATGAAAGGACACTAGACAATAACCTGGAGTCATATGAAGAAATAATGATCCCAATAAAGGTAAACACATGGGCAATTATAAAACCTGGTATTATTTTTTTTTTCAACGTTTATTTATTTTTGGGACAGAGAGAGACAGAGCATGAACGGGGGAGGGGCAGAGAGAGAGGGAGGCACAGAATCGGAAACAGGCTCCAGGCTCTGAGCCATCAGCCCAGAGCCCGACGCGGGGCTCGAACTCACAGACCGTGAGATCATGACCTGGCTGAAGTCGGACGCTTAACCGACTGCGCCACCCAGGCGCCCCAAAACCTGGTATTATTATAACAATAGCTGTAACTCCACTCTCTGTTTTCTACATGATTTAAGAGACCGCTATGACCGCTATGTCTCTTTTAAAAAAAAACAATTAGTCTAAAAGCTAGTATTATTGTAACTTTGGTTTCTAACTCCACATTTTCTTTTCTACATGATTTAAACACTAATGCATTATTAAAAACCAAATATTAGTATATGTATTTTGGACACACAATTTATAAAGATGTAATTCTGTAACATCAATAACTGAAAGAGGCAAGGATCAAACTTGAAAGGAGCAATGTTATGTATATTATTGAAGTTAAGCTGGTATAAATTCAAGTTAGAATGCTATAACTTTAGGATGATAAATGTAATCCCCATGGTAGCCAAAAAGAAATTTGTTGCATAATATACACCAAAGCAAATGAGAAGGGAATTAAAATATTCACTACCTAACAACAGAATACACATTTTTCACAAGTGCACATAGAACATTTTCGAGGTTACACCATATGTGAGGCCACAAATTGAGTCTCAATAGATTTAAAGAGATAGATATAAAACAAAATATTTTATCTGGCCAAAATGGCATGAGGTTAGAAATCAAAGCAGAAGGAAAACTAGGAAAATTCACAAATTTGTGGAAATTAAACATACTCTTTTTTTTTTTTTAATATTTATTTATTTTTGAGAGAGACAGAGAAAGAGCAAGTGGGTTAGGGGCAGAGAGAGGGAGACACAGAATCTGAAGCAGGCTCCAGGCTCTGAGCCGTCAGCACAGAGCCCAATGTGGGGCTCGAACCCACAGAGCTGTGAGATCATGACCTGAGCCAAAGTCAGGCGCTCAACTGACTGAGCCACCCAGGCGCCCCAAAACATACTCTTTTTTGAAAATTTATTTATTTTGAAAGAGTGAGAATCGCAAGCAGTCTCTACTGTCAGCACAGAGCCTGACACGAGGCTCAATCTCACAAACCATAAGATCATGACTGGAACTGAGATCAAGAGTCAGACACTTCACCGACTGAGCCACCCAGGCACTCCAGTAGATCAAAGGAGAAATTATAAGGGAAATTAGAAAATTCTTAGAAATGAATGAAAATGGAAACATACTACATCAAAATTACAGGATGCAGTGAAAGTGGTGCCAAGGAAATTATAGCTATAAATGCTTACATTAAAAAATCTCAAATCAACAATCTAAGTAAACAACTTCAGGAACTAGGAACAGAACAAACTAAACCCAAGTTGGACAGAAGAAAGGAAATACGAAAGATGAGAACAGAGAGAAAATGAAATAGAGAATAGACAAACAATAAAGAAAATCAATGAAACCAAAGGTCAGTTCTTTAAAAAGGTCAAAATTGACAAATTCATAGGTAGACTAACTGAAAAGAAAGAATAAAGAAGACTCAAATGATTAAAATAAAAAAAGGAAAAACTCCTGAGTCTACCGAGAAAGGATTTTAAGAGAGTACATGAACAAATGTACATCAACAAGTTGTTTAACCTAGATGAAATGGATAAATTCCTAGGAACACAAATTCTAGCAAGATTGAATCACAAAGAAAGAGAATACAGTATCTGAATCAGTCTCTAATCAAGGAAATTGAATTAGTAATCACAAATCTGACAAAGAAATGCTCTGATCCTATGGTTTCACTAGTGAATTGTACTAAACATATAAAGAAGAATTAACACCACACTTTTTTGAAGTTTTCCCAAAAATTGAGGAGGAGGGAACACTTTTTAACTCATTTTATGAGGCCAACATTATTTTGATACCAAAGTCAGACAAAAACACTACAAGGGAAAAAAAACAAAACAAAACAGGCCAATATACCTTATGAACATTCAT